GGGGGGGAGACAGAGAAGCGAGTGAGACAGATTAAAAGTTGTACTCTGCTCAAAAAACATTTGGCATCATTGAGAATTCATGGCTGATCCTGAAAACCTGCGTCGTCTGTCTGTTCGTCCCGTCCCCACGGAGGAGTAATCATACCTATATACTGCTGTAATAACACTAATATCTTTCAAAAAAATAAAGAGTAAATTAAAAAATAATTGCAGATTATGAGAGTATGTGTTTAAGCTCTGTGTTGTGAGTGTGTGTGTGTGTGTTTCTTTATATACAGAATAGTGAGGCAGCAATCCGAGGGTTTCTTACCAAAAAACACAGATGTAGAAAAAACAGAACGTGCACAAGAGATCTTTGATTCAACACACGGACGACAATGTATCTGTTAAACAGCCTCTCTTTGTTTCGGTTAATTTTTGCGGGTTTTTTGACACAGTTGCAATGCATTGAGCGACCACTAGATGGCGCCACTTTGAGAAACCGGAAATCTGTGCTGCAGATAAGAAATGTGACATCTTTGGGAGAAGAAACACAAAAAGACTTGAGCTCCGTTTTTGCTACAGTGGCTCGTTTAGCGACAGAACAAACGTCTGTCAGATTCAGTCTCTGTCGTGGACGGCAAACAAACGGTCGAGGAAATGTTGATCGACATTCGCCTTTTTCTAGAACCATTTAAAAACGGGGACAAAAAGAGGAGGGAATTTATCTTCATCATCACCATCACTGTCATGCTTTTTCGGAAAAAGGACAACGAACAACGATACAACCATGCGCTCGCCAGAAAGGAGTCTGCTCTCCGAATGTTTGACACACTTGGTCTTAGCAGAGAACAGACGTTTTAATATGACATCAACGTTTATCCGTGTTTCCTTCTCCACCTCGATTCATGCTACAACAATGCAGAGAGGCGGTAGCAGCTTTTTGACGTAGAGAGAAAACCACGACGTCTGATCCCAAAAGGTTGACATCAAGAAAGAAACAGTGGTTGTCCTGGGAAACTCCCGGCTGTAAATGTGAAGAAAGTCTGAATTTTAAAGGGAGGGAGTTGCCGAAAAACGAGCCCGCATGCTCGGCCAAAACCCCTCCCTGGATAAATACTGAAGAAAATGACCTACATTATAAATCCGTGATGATTACCGGCACTTACATCGACCCTAAGGACACCAGCCAGTAACATTTTACGAGACCAAAACCCACAGTCGTCTCCACGCTCTCTATCCAACAAACACTTTGAAAACCACTCGAGACAAACAGACAAAGACAATCTCATTGCAACAGGCAGGACTGGATGCCATGCAGAAGTTTAGAAAACAGAAAGGAAAGAAGAACGGACCACGAAGAAACCACAATTGCAGGTTTAGATTGAAAAGGAACAAGTTGTTCAGGGTGAGTCGAACGTAGGTGAGTCGGGTATTTTGCCAATAAACAACTGGCACAGACTTTACTGTCCTTCAAATCCATATTCTGAGAAGGCTATTACGAAACATCAAGAATCGCCCTGACCTGATATTAATGATTGTTTCTAAGATCCAGGGTGACGATGATCTGATTCTGGATCAGTGCCACACGGCCGGTAACAGCTTCTCTTTCTAAACTGCCAATTTCCAAATGCCTTATGTCCCTGAAAATGAAGAGCTGTGATTAGAGCTAATTTTTTGTGATAACATCAATTAAGATAATTTTTTAATGAGTCCAAGTTGGAATCCAATTAGCCGAGTATTCTAGGTTTGGACACCCAGGATTTGTGTTGATAAACGAGAGAAAGTAGATTTTTAAAAGGTGTTTTGTCTTTGACTTCCCAGGTGATTCCCTCGCTACTTGCCAAACTTCTGACTGCACTTTACAAGTGGCTAGTTAACCAGACAACCTTTCAAACTGCTGCTTAAATCAAAAAGCATTCAGTGTTAGCCAATTTCCAATCCAACTTACTTGACTGGCTTTATGTCTTTCCGAAATCCAACAAAAGTCTCCCGTTTGTCACTTAAATACCTGGATATGCAAGAATCCGATTGGCTGTTCGGGTTCAACAGTCCAATCAGAGACAATAGGCTGCTGACATCATAATGAGAGACAGAGGTGGCCGATGTTGTCGATATAAAAACAAAAATATAAGATGACGACCTTATCTAACCAGACACTGGAGCGATGCTAACAGCGAGAAGAAAATAGCGCACTCAAAGCGAACCACAAAGCCTGAGAGCCTCCGAAAGGTCTACAGCTAAAGGACAGAGACACCAAGAGATACTAGAGCTATAGATACTAGACACTGGCAGAGGGGAGGACACGGTGGGAAATCTACTTCTTCTATAAGGAAGATACTATGAGAGGCTAAGCTAACACAAGACTGCGACAAGAAGCGTCTAAGAGCAATATCTATCGAACAGCGACAGTGATGGGTGGGAGCAGACAATCTAGACAGGAACTGGTTATTATTACTATTTTTTTTTTTACATATCTACACATACCAAACAGTGACGAAGCAGGCTTAAAAAAAGCATTCTAGAGATAGACCAACTAGACAGAGTTGAGAGGCTGAAGCGAGATCGTGAAGATGATGAGCTATCACTGGGATGTGGATTTGGGATGGGACTACAAAAAGTTTCAAGTTCGTTGTTAGAATGGCAGGAAAAACTATTTTTGCTACCCGCCAAAGTGGCCGGTAGATTAGAACAAACGTGTTATTGTAAAACCTCAAACGATTTCTACAAACTTCAAATCTCTTTCTCAACTTTTTCACACCACATCTGGCGACAGCTCCTCTTGCCGGCAGGTTAGTCACTTCAGTGCAACATTTTTGCAACAAAATTTAGATTTTACAAAAACAAAAAAGAAAGCACATTTTGTGTCAAACTCGCTGGCTCAAATTTGGCTCGAAATCTGACACAATTTGACCCTCAGAAATAGCCCTCAATGGAAAACATACACACGTGAACACGCACAAAAAAAGCATGGTACAGACCGACAGTCGAACTCGTGGTGACGGATGCTTTGGCTAAAGAATGGTTATGACTTCTTACACAGATTTGATCCCCTGGAGCCACGGAGCCGCACTTAAAGCCACTCACTTCGATTCAGTGCAATTTAAAGTGAATTCAACTCGATGCAATAAAATGTATCCCTCACTCAGTGCTGCGGTCATCAATAATTGGCACATAATGTGGATCTGCCAATAATCAGGTGTGGCAAATGAAAAAGCTCTTATTTTTAGAAACCTTTGACGTCTGAATCTTGTTGGTCAGCTGATGAGGACATGAAGAACAGATACACAGAGATCAACAAGGGGTGCTAACAGGATGCTAATGATGCTAGTTAACAATTCGTAGTGGCTTTAGCGTAAACAATACAATAAAATGTGTTTTATTTTTACGTTCTACTGAACGTGACAGGAGCCAAAATGAGTCAAGATAAAGGTGTAAAACTGTGTCTGGCTAACGGCCATCTTTTTCTGGAGAGAGGGATGATTTATAGACCGAAATATGTCAAGTCATACGTGTCTTGTTAGCAATCAAGCTAACACACTTTCTAACTGACAGTTTGAATGCTAGCTAGCTTTGAGAGATTTCTTTCCCCTTTTTAATAACTTTTTATTTGATTAAATAACTAGAATATAACACCAAAAGGGACCAAAGAGTTGATATATTGAAGCCCAAGAGTAAATGTGGCCACTAGCACTAGCTAACAAGGTGTTAGCGGTTATGTGATTTACGACACCACCATGCTTTAAAAACCACACATTTCTCAGTAAAGCACGGATGAATTTTGCTGCATCACTCTCTTGCGTGGCTAGGCTTTAAGATGTTTGGTTCACAGACAATTTAGACGCCGTGCTAACATGTTATCACTGCTAATCCAAGTCGCTCTGTGTGTATCTGTACTTTAGGGAGAAGAAAATAATGCAGTATGAGTAACAAAGACGTAAGCTTAAAAACCCATAACAACAAACGCTCAACTACTATTAACAAATGGTTCAACAAATTGCTGTACAAGCCCCGATAACATTCAGGAGAGGCTGCAGAAGAAAAATACAAAGATATCCCCAACAGAGCGGAAAATTACGGGAAACACACTCGAGAAGATTTGCCTCTAAATCCGTCGCTGATTGGACGGTCGTGGTCACAGACAGCGAACAAAGACGATGGAAAGGAGGTCGGTTGTGAAGGTATTGTCTGAAACAACTACACACACACACACTTCCACACACACCTGTCCTCCCTTAAGTGCTCCCAGGTTGCCGTTGCAGGCAGACAGTAACCCAGAGAGGACAAAATAGCACCAGTATGAAATAAAGCTAATTCTGCAGCAGAGACTTTCTCAGAGGTAGGATTTCCCTCTTCTCTACTCCGCCATCTTTCTTCACATCTATCTCTCGCATCCCTATTCCCTCTCCTGAAGCAATCACTCCATCGATATGATTTCAAAACAAAAAATAGACAGAAAGAAGCCACACACACACAGTTGTTTCAGACAATGACCAACAAGGATGATATTTCCCGAACACATCCCTCCATCCTCTTTCCGGTCGTGTTCCCCTCCTCTTTCCAACTTGTTTTTTCGGTGTCTCTCAGTCGTTTTAGCTCGTTTCAAATCATCCCCCCGTCCATCGGATCGTTCCTCTTGTGTGTTTTCTTCTGCTGTTTGTTTGTTGCTTTTTGGCACTCTGCTTCCCCCCCCCCGACTGGATTACATAAACTGCATCTGAATAGACAGGGGGATTAAAAATAAGTGGGATAAATAAAACGGAGAAACTGCTTATTTAGGTCATTTTACCAATGCAATGAAAAATGACTTTGGCATACTGCTTCGATACCAACAATGCATTTATCATACACAGTCGATTAAATACACTAAAACAGGTCAATCAAATAGCTTTAAGATACACAAAATGATATATATATTTGCAATTTATCTATTTTAATATCTATCCATCTACCTAAGCCTGACTTTTGATAATAAATAACATTTTACACATGCACATATACACAGTTTTAACACTAACTTTTCCAATTAACATATCTATACCGAATGCTAGCCATAGGTTTTCATATTATCACTTTAGTTGACCCATTATTTAACTCATTGCATTAATAAAAAAATTCTGGTTAAGTCATTTTATTGCATTTGACCATATAAGACATGTAACACTCTTTATGAAATGTTACATTAACGGATTGATTAAATACCTTTTCAGTTGCAAAGGTGTCGTTTTGTGTGTATGAATGCACAAGTACAGGATAGCTGACCTGGGCTCCGGGCATGGGTGCAAAGGGGTTTGTGGGTCTGAGGACCGGCTGGTTGTACATCATGGGCTGAGGAGCCATCACCTGAACCCCCCCCATGTGACCCATCTGGGGAGGGACCTGCATGGAGGGAGGGGGAGTGTTAGAAAAACCCACAAGTTGACATCATAAGCTGATAAGTTGCTTGTTGATTTTGTAAGTTTCAATCATTAAAGCTTGCGGTGATATGGTCTGTTACATCCGCATGACGTCATCGGAGCTGCCGTGCCTGTGTGCCGGTGATATGTTTACTTTTCGTTTATGACGGCGGGTAATGAGACGACGGTGCTTTTCCCTTTCTCCCTCAACATTTTCCTTTACTGCTTTTTAGTATAATTAAGTAATAAGTATAATTAAAGATCTGAACTGGAAAAGTCTGTTCTCCGTGTTCTTTTACCGGGACACACCCATCCACAATTTCCTGGAGACCCCCCCCCCAATCCTCCCTTTTTACAGAAAGCAACACAAATAAGAAGTAAGAGAAAAGGGAGAGACAGAGAAAGCAGAAATCAATAAATAAAGAAAATGTAAAATTGTCAGCAGTGAGAAGCTACTTTTTGAACATTCAATATGATCTGAAATAAGGAATAAAGCAACACTTTTACATACTGAATTATTGAATAGTTTACTTTACAAACAATAGCTGTTTTTGGCTTGCTAAATTTGTGTGAGGAGTTTTCTCTCCTTATCTCAGTTTAAAAAATTGATTTGGTCAGACAAAACTAGAATTTTTTTAAGATGTCATTAAGCTAGACAGGGGTGTCAAACTTCCAAGGCCCGGGGGCCCAAATCGCGGCCCGCGACTTCATTTTATGTGGCCCTGCAGAGCTTTGCAAATAATAATAGATACTGTTCACTATTCATATACGGTTAAATCCCGCTTTACAGAAGGCACGTTTGCCCAATAAAACTACATGTCCCCCACAATGCATCTCATCTTTGTGACATGTGCAGCCCTGAGAGACCTTGCAATTATTTGCCCTAAACTTTGCCTTCAGACGTAAGTTAGTTATGAAGTTATAACCCCCAATCCGATAAATAATCCAATGCAGAGGCAATAATGTAATATAATACATTTTTATATATATATAGTCTTAAAAAGTTCAAACTGGCCCTTTGAGTGCAACCATAATGCTAATGTGGCCCGCTTATGTAATTGTAGTTTGACACCCCCCTGAGCCTTAAGAGCTAGGCAGATAGGGAAGAGAGTGAGAAACCAAGAAATCCATTAAATCAGGCAAATGGAAATATGATCTGAAACTACAGATAAAACAATTGATACATTTAGAAAAACTGAAGAAGAACTCACTGAACATTAATTGAATAGTTTATCGAGTAAAATAGTGAAACAATAGCCTGTTTTGGCTTTCTAAAATTGTGAGGATGGTTGTCTCTCTTTCCTCAAGTTTAAAAGTATGGATAAGCTGGATATATTGGTTAGGAAAAACAGATATTCTAAGAATGTTCATTTTAAACTCTGAAAGCTGTATTTTTGTAGCTTTTTTCCGACATTTACAGACGCAACATGGTAACGAATACGGTACACCAAATAAGGCAATTCGTTGTAGACAATTTACTGCATGTAATGAAAGTGGCTGTGTGTTTTCATTAAACTGATATATCGTGTAATTCCCTCCCTTGCACCTACCTTCCATACACAGGCACTTGCGGTGTGTTTCATGGGAAAAGCCCATGGGAGCTGGAGCCCTGTAGGAAAAAGCAGCCACAAAAAGTCAGCAGGTAGAAAAAGCAAAAGCCACACCTGGGTCACATATTGGTACGGCTTTTTGTTAAGCATTCAGCTACCATGGAATAAAGGACTTTAATGGAGCAAGGGAGGAGGCAATTACAGTTTAAAGCGCTCTATTAAAATGTAAAAAACCACACAATTCAATCGTAGTGTGCGAGGACGGAGAACACCGTTTGAATGCTGATAGTGGCGGGCATTAGGGTGGCAACAACCACAGCTTGAGGCAGAGGTACTTAGAGGAATTTCCCACTGGGTAAGCAACATTACAACTGCCTTTTAAAAAGGGGTGGCTCATAGGAAACGGGCGTTTAGCCCCTGCCCTCCTCACTCCAACAAATCAAATCCACTACGGCTGAATGGGCCTCAAATTCAACGTGAACAACGAAAACNTTTTAATGGCGGGTCGCAAACAGCTTTTGGTTGCATACCGCCACCTACTGTACACGAGTGTGTATCATCATGTCAATCCTCTAATAAATCAGCATATCAAAAAGAAAACCATAAACCATAAAATAAAATAAAATAAATAAAACAAAACAAAAAACAAATCATCCATGTTCTACTGTTAAATTCTTTTCCCTATCCCAGTTTCCCTCAAAAAGGTGAACAGTGCTTTTCTGATAGCTCTTACTCCTTCTCCTTCTGTTCCCAGAATACCCGCTACATTCCACTCCCTCTCTGCCTCTAAAACTGTATCCCTTAATTTCCCTCTTTCAACTCTATAGGTGACACAATGTAATAAAATATGTTCCACATTTTAGTCTGTTCTTCTTCTCTGTCTTCTTCTTCTTCTTCTTCTTCTTCTTCTTCTTCTTCTTCTTCTTTTCTTTAATGGCGAATCGCTTCCACTTGGAGCATATATCGCCACCTACTGTTTAGTTATTAAATGTTCATACTAAATCCTTGTCCTCAGACTTCTTCTCTGTCTTCCGGTTGTTGCCTGTTTTGAATGACGAATACACACTACCGCCGCCTGCTGGTATGGAGAGTTATTGCCATTCACGCATGCGCAGTTCGTACGTACACACACACACACACACACACGCACAGGTGTACCTGCTGGTCTGCTCCAGGTTCTGCCAGGTGAAGTCGGTGTCATTATCCACGTCTTTAGGCTGCTCTTCTGATGATGTAGCAGCTTCACTTGTAGCTTCGGTGCTGCTAGCCTCTTTCTTCTTGTGAATTATATTCTTTTTAGAAAAGAAGTCAAGTAAAAAATGTTTGCCTGCCGTTATAGAGCTTTTTCGTTAGCGTTCTTGAGGGAAAACAAAAACCGGCGAGCTGGTCGTGGGTGCACTGGGGGTGTGTGTCAGTGGGTGTCAGTGGACCTTTAAATGTTTGCACAAGTGGAAGACATACGATGGTCCCTCTGTTTCCCACAGGAGGGCGCCAAGTATTTCCCCCAAAAGTGTGTGTGTGCACCCTGGTTCGGCGTCTTGTGTTTTGGCCGACATGTGTGTGTTTTACTCAAAATGGCATATTTCTGCTATTAATTAATAACTTTTCATAGGAAGCTCTGTTTGCTTCAGGCTCAGTCTGTACCCCCCCTCCCCCCTTTTCATGTCCTTTGCATCCATTGGTACGGTCGGCAAGACTGTAGGACGACATGAAGTGTAGTTATGGCACATGTTCAGATTCTGCTATTTCTGCTGAAATAGCAGAATCTGAACTACCAGTTTTCAATGAGTAGTTTACTTTGGTGCTTTAAGTTTATCCTGGTGATTATACTTGTGTACTTCTCTCAATAATTTCTTTAAACTATTTGGATGTTGTTTACAAATATTCAGTATGTTCAATCTACATTAATACATTTGTTGTAAATTCCCCTTGTTTTCCTTAATCTGCGTTATATTATTTATATTTTAATCAGGCACATTTAGGGACAGCTAAAGTAGCATGCCTGCAGGTCCTCGCTTTTGTTCACCCATGTGCGTATCACAGAGAATGCCTTCGTGAAGAATGTAAGCATATATTTGGAGATCTTTAAAGTTAGGAATGTTATAAGAAGTAATGATTATAAGAAGTATGCATAATGTCCTGCTAAGTCAGTGTGTTCATAAGTCTATTAATGTCCCGTTTTTGCTGCTATGTAGTTCAGAAATGAAGCTAATGCTAGCTAGTTAGCTAAGTTACACTTAGCTGACAGTGTGAGGGCGAGTGCCGTTACAACCGGCCCTTTGAGTGCAACAATAATGTCGATGTGGCCCGTGATGAAATTGAGTTTGACCCCCCTGCTGTAGATTAATAAATATAATGTGTGCTTTCCTCAGGCTCTGCGGCGCGCTGTCTCTGCAGAGGACCCACCAGGTGGCGCTGGCTCTGCAGCAGAGAGCTGTTCTGCTGTCAGGTAATCACGAGGATTAATATCAATTATTCTATTTAATAACTCTTACAGTACATTTGTAATTCAACATGTATATTTTATACAGTTTCCTTTTTTAATGCCATTTTATTTCTATTGAGACGTTTACATTTTGGAATGTTACAGATAATGGAGCAGATACTTTAGGGCAGAGGTGTCCAAACTTTTTTCACCGAGGGCCACATACAGAAAAATATACGAAGGGCTGGGCCGCTCATTAGAGGTATATTACCTCGTAAGTTCAGTTATAAGTTAGCAAAATCAATCAAATGTAGGTAAATGATGCTTGTGAGTGTTGGCAGCTCATCCCTTAAAACAGAAGATTGATTATAATAAGGAGAAATAGGAAGGGTGTTTATAACTTATAAATTATAGACAACACTTTGGGCAAAATCGAAGAAAGAGCCCAGTAAATTTCCAGAAGAAGAGAGAGAGAGTTTGAGGGCACAGAATGCAGTTTTAATATTAATTAGCCTTTCCTTTTCTCGAGACATAAATAATACAGATAATATGTGTTCACCAAAGGCTTTGTATGAAGTAACCGGGACCATACCATTCAGATTCATTGTAAAGGAATATAAATAATAACAGTGTGTGTATGTTTATGGCGCATCTCCACTATAGCGCGGAGTGCGGTTTAAGCTTCTTTTTTTTTAACATGCTTGTTATGTAAATAAGTCATTGGGCTTCTTTTTCTTTCGTGTAACGTCAGAGGTCCAACTCGGTGTCGTGTAGCCATGCCCGCATCTCTCGCATGCAGAACTGTCATTCGGCTAAGATATGTTAGAAAATGTTTCCAACTTGAATTGACTGAATTTATTTGAAAGGTGGTCTTATTAACGCATGAAAAATACTGTGTAATATATTTTTACATTTATCTTTAAGAAGTATAATACAAGACAAGCACAAGTTTCATTTGTGGACCATATTCCATTATACTTTTGGAATTTGCTGCCTGAGGGCCGATTC